TGTTACTGAAGATTGAGACCTTCTGCAATTAAAGCCTGTAGAAAATAGCAAGCCGTAGCTTTCTAGGACATTGGGAGGGACCAGGCTGCAGCGGGAAAACAGGGACTTCAGAGCAGGAAGATTGACGTTGTCACTAGCTGGCTCATTTCAGTTCCACCGTGCCTGGGTCTCCTGTCTGTACAGTGAGGTTAATGAGGATTACGTAGAATACTATACAGAAATTGTCAAGCCAGCATTTTCTAGTGTATATATTTGTGAAGTTACTGTTTTAGGTTCCTTCTGAGCTGATTTGAGCTTTGCAGCTGCCAGGCTGAGCGTGATAATAAGAAACCTCAGTGGGGGAGACTGGCAGGCGGCGTAGCATTGCTCTTCAAATGCCTCCATACTTTTTAACTTTGAAATTTTCTTACAGGAATTAACAGTGAGACAATTGTGAAACCAGCTTCAATTTCAGAGGAAGAACTATTGAATTTAATCAACAAACTGAATAATGATGATAATGTAGATGGCCTCCTGGTTCAGCTGCCCCTTCCAGGTGAGTTTTAGACTCTGCCATTTAAAGTGATTTCTGAGCGGAGAGGCTTGGTTACTCTATACAGCCGGCTGCTTGTGTGAATTTGACTAAAAGGGGAGGTAAACTCGAGTGAATGGGAATTTTTTTTTAAGATTTTATTTATTTACCTTTAGAGGGGAGGGGAAGGAGAGGGGGAGAGAAATATCAATGTGTAGTTGCCTCTCGTGCGTCCCCTGCTGGGAACTGTCCTGCAACCCAGGCATGTGCCCTGACTGGGAATTGAACCGTGGTTGTTTGGTTTGCAGGCTTCACGCTCAATCCACCACTGAGCTACACCAGCCAGGGCCAAGTGAATGTTTTATTAGATATGGGGCAGGCCTACTCAGTGAGGGGAAGCAGCATTTGCCACCCTAAAATATACCTTTTGGGATATTGATGATTTTAAGCTGTTTTTTGTTTGTTTGTTTGTTTGTTTTTTCAAGAAACAAAAGACCCAGGGAGAAGCTTTAACCTTCCCCCTGACTACCTGAAAGAATTTAGATAGAGGACCTCCTCCGGGAAGGGAGGTCAGCATCACGGACAACTGCAGTTCAGTATGGACGAGGGGTGATAGACAGGGAGGAGTCTAGCAAGGCCTGTTTGATCAAAGTCTTCTCTGTATCCTGTTGGTAAAGATGGCCCAGCAAACATTTATTTACCAAACATTTGTTTTTCTGCTTATCTCTGTGTGCATTGCCTTCCGCCTTTTGCAGTCCCCAGCCACAACCCCCTTCTCCTTAGCTCGAGAGGGGCATATAAGCCTTCCTTGCCCAATCTGTCCTGGGTTTCATGGAGCCCCCATTCTTATAGAGGCCCCATATACATACTTAATACATTTGGACATTGTCTCTTGTTAACCTATCTCATGTTGATTTGATGATTAGTGCAGCCAGAAGACTTTAAAAAGGAGGAAAAATAATTTTGAGCTGGTAAATCAAGAATACCAATTACTCCTTGATTTGGCATTCAGATCTTGACACAAAAAACAGTGCAGGGAAGCAGTTGTACAAGAGGATATTGGCTTTGATATTGGCATTGGGCTTTGCTTGATGTGTTCCTTCTGTGCAGATGGAAGAAATAAATCACAGAGTCGAGTAGAAGCAAGTTATAGAAGGGGAACAGATTTGTGCGTCAAACCAGATGAGCCGGAGTCAAGCAGTACTAACTATGCAACAGTGACTGAAGACCACTGCTCTGCTTGCTTTTTCAGACCACATAGATGAGCGAAGGATCTGCAATGCTGTTTCTCCAGACAAGGATGTGGATGGCTTTCATGTAATTAACGTGGGGCGCATGTGTTTGGACCAGTATTCCATGTTACCGGCTACCCCATGGGGTGTGTGGGAAATAATTAAGCGAACTGGTAGGTATATCCCACAGTTAGTTGTATGTCTGTGTCAATACTATCAAAGCAGTACTTATAAATAGTAAAAGGGTGAGGATTCCTGCCCATGACCTCGTCCTTGTACCCAGAGCCTTTGTCTTTTAGTGGTTGGCTACTACTGTTTTTGCTATTTAATCCAGAAGCCTCAGTGAAGGAAACTTAAACTTTGATAGTGGTGCTCGTGCACATTCATGCAACAGTTTGTAGCTCACAAAAAGTTTTCTTTAAACTTCACTATGTGTAGAAGTGATAGCGCTAGTTGATTGATGAAGCAATAGGCTTAGCCTTCCTTCGTTGTCACAATTAGATTCACATCCTAGGCCATCTGCCTTCTTTTCCTTTGGTGCCCTAAGACAGCCTGGCATTGCTTTTAATCCGCGCACACACACGTCTATATTTGTGTATATATACACATATTTTTATTCATTTATTTTAATTTTTAATAGGCATTCCAACCCTGGGGAAGAATGTGGTTGTAGCTGGAAGATCAAAAAATGTTGGAATGCCCATTGCGATGTTACTGCACACAGATGGGGCGCACGAACGTCCGGGAGGTAAGCAAACTGCTTTCGGGGGAGTGTCTTCTCCCTCATGTGAGAACCTTCAGAGGCTGTCTTGTGGGCGTTTGGAAGTGTTAACTTTGTTAAACTTCCAAGGAAACATTATATTTGTGTTTGCATTTGTTATCATTTTGCTAACAGATATTTGGAGTGTAATCTTTGTAGGAGAAGCTGGACTCAGTGTGCCCTGGGAATTTATTTATACTCATTTATTGTGGAACTAGTTCAGAAATGAATTTGAGTTTTGAGTATAAGCATGGTTGTAGGCAATTAGAAATTTTTAGTTATGGCTTTGATAGTTGGAGCTAAGAAACAATTCTTATTCAAAGTTCATATTGTGTTCTGTGTCATTTGATGGAAAAAATCTTAGAACATTGCAAAGGATTAAATTAATATGTCTAATATGTCATGTCAAATTTTGTTAATTTGCTTGAGAAAAAGCCTCAAAGCAGAGTTATGCGATTATCATATTATGGTAGTACATGAGTATATCAGAACTAATGTTAAAACAAAATACTTCCAGATATGTCTTAGTACATTTAAACACACACACAAAAAAACAGCCCCAGCTCAGTGGATTGAGCGTGGGCTGCAAACCAAAGGGTCCCTGGTTTGATGCCTGGGTTGCAGGCCAGGTCCCCAGTGGGGGACACACGTGAGAAGCAACCACACATTGATGTTTGTTTCCCTTTTCTTTCTCTTTCCCTTTCCCTCTCTCTAAAAATAAGTACATAAATAAAATCTTTAATAACAAAACAAAAACAAATCTGGAGTAATTCCAGTGGTATTTTATTTAGAAAGTTAAAGTCCTTGAAAAACAGGATAAAGAATAAAGCTAGTTATATATGATTCCAAAGAGTAGAGCTAGGACTAACAGGTAAAAGTGCAAGAATCGAGTATTAATTTTTAAGAAAGTGATAATTGGCTGTCCTGAAAATATGGCACATGAATTAAGTCAATTCTTTTTTTCAGAGATGTAGAATTTCTATGGTGATTTGCTTAGCTGATACCTAATCCCATCCTAGCTTTGATTCAGAAAACAAGACATTTAATTTTTAACTCACAGGTGATGCCACTGTTACAATATCTCATCGATACACTCCCAAAGAGCAGCTGAAGAAACATACAGTTCTTGCAGATATTGTCATCTCTGCTGCAGGTAAGAACACCAAGGAGGGGACGGATGGGCATCAGAGGACAGACCTCTCCTCTCAGAGTTTGCCCGCCTTGCTGCCACCCCATTCCCTATTGCCCAGGACAGCGATTTTCCACCGAGGGGCTGCAGGAAGGGTTAAAATACACAAGACCTGACCATTTAGCCAAGGACACTGACCTCTTTTCCCTTAGTTTGTCAAAAAAAAGATGACAACAGCCAACATAACAATAGCCATCCAGCATGAATGAATTAAAATTATGCCTATTTTTTTGTCAGATCAGCAAAAAATGTCTTTTTCGGTGTGCCGCAGAATTTCAATAGTTTATGTGCACCACGAGATGACAGAGGTTGAACATCGCTGCCCTAGGCACTGAGTCGCCTACAAAGCAGAGGAAAGCGTAGTGGTTTCTGTCATTTCACTATAGACTTCATGGATGCGGTTGATTTCTGTAGCCTCAGAAGATTTCTGTGTACTATGTGAAGTTTAAATGTTTCCTTGGTTAATGGTTCTTGTAGGTTTTTTTAATAAAACAAGCTACTTAATTCTTCCAGGTCTCTTGAAATTGAAATTATGTAAGAATCTGATAGGTGAAACCTTCTTTTCTGTCCTAACGTGGTTGTTCTGTCCCCGGTCCCAGGCATTCCAAATCTGATCACAGCAGACATGATCAAGGAAGGGGCGGCCGTCATCGATGTCGGAATAAATAGGGTTCTGGACCCCGTCACGGCCAAGCCCAGGTTGGTCGGAGATGTGGACTTTGAAGGTAAAGAGTGTAATTTTTAAGAAATATAAAATCAGGATTTTGAGGAGCAAGTATGAAAGACACAGGGATGAGGACTGGGGGGAGGGAGGTGGGGAGACGGGGCAGGGGGGGCTGGGATGGGAGAAATAGACAAAAAACTGTACTTGAAAAATAACTAAATAAAATTTAAAAAAGAAATATAAAATCAATAAATGCTACCTTTAATGGACATTTAGGACTGATCATTTACTTTTTCTTTAACTATTAAACTTGTATTACCCTGGGAATATCATATAAAATGCTTTTCTTAGGGGATGGAGGGATTGAGCAAAAAGGAAAAGGACTCATGGACATGGACAACAGGGTGCTGATTGCTGGGAGGAGAGGGGTGTAAGGGTACTAAATGGTAATGGAAAAAATATAATAAAGGTTATATTTTTAAAAAATGCTTTTCATTTGCTTGTGGTGGTGAATGTACAATACAACATACAGGTGATGTACTACAGAAGGGTACACCTGAGACCCATGTAATTTTCTTTAGGGGTGACAATGTCACCCCAATAAATTCAATAAAAAATAAAATGATAATAATAATAATAAATACATAGCACTTTCACAGGTCCTCCCCCAGGCAGTGGGGCCGGGATTTGGTGGCAGGTGCTGAGAGGGGACCCTGGGGTGCGCCCTTGCCCTGGGACTGTGCCAGTGGCAGCTGTCACTCCGTGGCGCAGAGAAAAATATAATTAAAAAATACTGTAAAGAATCATCGCCTAAGCTTGTGCCTAAAAACACATTCTAGCCTTTGGTTGTAAACATTAATTTTCTGTGAAAAGGAGAAATGCTTTCCATAAGAATTAAAAGAAACTTAAAAAAATATATAGATACTCTCAAGTTATTTTAGGTGTTTATATCATAAAATAATGGAGATAGAATATAAACTTTTCAGGGAATTGTTTTTCTTTAGGGTTATTTCGTAATTAAAACAATTTCAAGACTTTTGAACAAGTCTGAAATTTTAATTAAATGATTTTTCTAAACCATTGAGTCTCCTGAAAAGTGCTACAGGTTTCTCAGTTTCACATGAGAGGCGAGATCCCAGATCTGGAAGGTTAAAACAGTCCAGGAAAAGCCGTAGTCCTGAAAATTTGGAATTTGCTAGTAGATACCTCCTTTCAGGAGGTATTTTATGCTGATAATCCTGTTCCTAGCTTTCTCTTTCTATTGAAGCCACCAGAACCAAGCTTAGGTATCTACGTATTTTCTCTTTAAAATTGGGTTAAAAATCTTGCTTTTTACTTTCCAGAAAATTACTTTTTTTGGTACTTTGGGCAAACAGTATAAATAAATTTAGTATATAAATAGAGTAAAATTAAGATAATGTTGTAAGTAGGTATTGAGGTAATGCTTACTTATTATTATTATTATTGGTATACCTTTCATACAGTTAACATACTGAGATGTTTCTTTTTTGATATGGAAGAAAGCGTGGCTGGTAGATTTTAGGTTATTTGGATGTATAAATATTCATCAAATAACTCTGCTTATTATGTACATATTATTCTGTTAGTATGTTCAAAAGCCTTTACTCTTGAGTAATTTGATGTGTTGTTTAAGTGTTTGTGAACGCTCCTTCCATGATATGTTAAAATACATGCATCTCCTTTGTCATAATTAAAGCAAACCTGCCTCTCATTTCTACATAGGAGTCCGGAAGAAAGCTGGTTACATCACCCCGGTCCCTGGAGGTGTTGGCCCCATGACAGTGGCGATGCTGATGAAAAATACCATTATTGCTGCAAAAAAGGTGCTGAGACTTGAAGAGCAGGAAGTACTGAAGCCTAAAGAGCGTGGAGTGGCAACTAATTAGATATCGCGTGTTCTGTGTCATGAACAGTGTACTCTAAGCCAGTTCAAGAGGCAAACAGGCCAACAGAAATGCAGCATTTTTTATTTATTCTACTGACGTGGTTTTATATGATGCTTTGTATTTATTGAAAGCTTAAATTAAATGGTGGGCATTTGCACACAGAGGTCTTCAGTACCTTACCGAGGAGCACCCACCCTCGTGCTGGGTCTGTGATCTAGCCACAAGAGGAGCCATTAACCTAGTGATCGCCGCGGGGACACTGTCACTTTGAGAACGGCTGCCGAACTTGGTCAGACCACTTCAGTTCCAATTTGCCTTCTCTAGGATTGCATTTCCCAAGTGCTATTCCAATAAAAGTTGGTACTCACTTCAGGTTCCCAACCTTTGAGTTCAACTGGTCAAACCAAAGGAAAAATATTGCTAGAGAATATTAGGGAAAAGGTAAGAAGGAAGAAATGACAGTACTTGAGTAGAAAGAAGTTTACCCTAATTTTGTACTTGTTACCAAACCAGAATAAAAGCTACACGTTAGTAGTACCCTGTCGTTTTATAGCTCAGTCGTCGGGAAGACGTCTGTGGTTGCTCCGTGTGCTGTTAGCCCTTGTGTTATGTGTGCTGCCATTGATGAGCTCTCCCCATTTTAGTTTTTGGGGATCAAAAGGCTCGTTTTATAAATAATTCATGTTTATTGTCCTGTTTGATTTTTCCTATGTTCTTAAACGTCATTGTTAAGTTTTTGTACTCTTGGGGTTGTCTGGGTGGTTTTTTCTGGTAGATCTTGAAACCTGCTCTTGAAAAATAAGACTTGGGCTTGATGGTCATTTAGGGCAGCCGGTACAAGTATGCAAGTCACTTTTCCACCAAAGAATTGATTGCAGCAGCTGCCTGCTTTTTTCTGCTATTTATTGGTTTTCCCCAACAAGTTTTTGAGACCTTGAATTAATATTGAATTTAATCAGACTTTCTGTTTAAAGATTTTTGTTTGTTTGTTTGTTTGTTTTAATAAAACCTGACTAGTATGAAATGAGTTTCTGAAATACTGCATCTTCCTGCTATTGTATCATCTTAGTTGTGACCTAACCATAGTTAATTTTTCTCATCGGATGTAATCAGTGTAGCTGTTTGTATATTTGGCAATACCCACACCTATGCTTTAAACAAATTGGTTTAAAGAGCTGTGGAGAAACCACCCTAGTCCACCTAGTCTTAGAGCATGAGATAAATGGACTTTCTCTTCCTCTCTTTCTCCTCTCCCTCCCCACTCTCTCCCTCCCTTCTAGTGTGTGTGTGTGTGTGTGTTTGAGGTGACAGATTGGAAGGCATTGGCTGTGCACATTTCCAGGCTAGGGTAGGTCCCTATGCGCTCCCCACCACGACCGGGTATTTGCCCTTCATACAGACGGGAGCAGCTCCTGTTCCACGCAACCTGAGGCCGACAGAGAAAGGCGCACAATGGGGAGCTGACCTGTCCCCCCGTGCCTCTGCCAGCTGACTATTCTTTTGATAATTTTCTGGAGATGAAGAAGATGATAGTTTGCTGGAGATGTTTCTGTAAGTGAGATGCAGCTGGTATCTGTAAGCCAAGCCTGCTGACTTACCTAAATTATTAAACTTGGAGCAAGATGAGCAGGCAGCATTATATTTTATTGAATTGTAGTTACAAGTGGAGAAAGTACAGACCTACTGCACAGAGAAGTAATATGTCAACCTGTTAAAAGCTATCAACATGTTTGTGTATATACAAAATATAAATGACATATAAGGTGAAAATTGTAGTGATCAATTTACAACAAAAAAAATTTAACTTTGTAGTTTTTCACCTTGTTTGATTAATCAAGTGCATTTATTCCTGACTCTATAACATTTCTACATTTTGATTTGGACAAAGTACTATTGAAAATCAGCCGAGTTTAAAAAATAAAATGTTCAGGGTAGATTGTTAGCTCTGCCAGATTGGTACAGATGAAGATAAAGAATTTATGCTTAAACTCAGGCGATGGTTCTAGATTAGTGAGCAGCTAAGTATTGCACTATCGGAAGGCATAGAGGTTTAGGGCTGTGCCTCTGGACAGTATCCCGTGGAAGGGAGCTCTGAGATTTAATTTAATAAACAACTAAGAGCTTTCTATGGACCAGTACTAAGCTTTGGGAATTAGAGACATGTAACTGTTCTGGTACCCAAGGTATTGACAATCTAGTGTCATTTGTCTTTTTAAAGAATATAGTAAGAAATAAGGAAAAAGCACCTGCATTTGTCATCGAGTAAAGGTAGTAAGTCTAACCAAAGAGATTAACTCAGGATTCAGATCCTTGGTTTTATGGCGGATGCACTGTGGCTGGGAGGCACATAACTGCTAAATACACATGGTCCATGTTTGTTAAGCGGATTGAAGATACTGATCTTGTTTTATGGGGAAAGGGTTTGCTTCACTAATAACAGGTTTTCAGCTGTCCAACTTGCTTTCAATCATTCCTTTCAAGTGCTAGTCTAGTATTACAAAGTTAAAATCTTCCAAAATTTGACCTCAACTCTGCCTAACATGCAATGTCCATGTGAATGGGAGTTCAGCTTGGGGAATCAGGCCACTGAAAACTTGCAGGAAGGACCTAACCCACAGGCCCTGAAATTTGATTCTGCACATGAAAAACCAGTGATGATAATGCAAAGGATCATTTTGTTGTTTTAATGTGGTTTCAGATTTTACTCTAAAGAACCATTTGAAAAACATTTATCTACTCAAATGTGTTGGTTGTTTCTTTAACACACTTTGGAACTGGCTTTTCAATCTGGCACGCCCCAGTCACACTTCAGTGCCAGGGCGAGGCCCTCATACAGGCAGTTCAAACTGTTCCTACCATCCTTAGCAACTGGGCTGAGATGGAGAGAAAAGGCAGGACCTTCAGGCATTTCTTAACGTGCAAACTTGCAAGACGAATTTTTCAACCTTGCTTTATTGAAGTACGAGTATTTTAATTGTTGTTTAAAAATCACCTAGACACTTTAAAATCTAAACACATTCTCAACTGATAATTTATTTTAATAAAAATGGCCTATTGCCCTTTTACCTTAACTATGGTTTTGGAAGGTGAGTTTTTTTTTCATTTCAAAAGAAAGGTTAAAATTTCTATGCTGGACTGTGTTTTAAAAGAAGGCATAATGCTTTCCTTTATTTATTTCATAACTACAAAGGGAAGGGGGAGAGTTGTGCACCTAAGTAGCACTTTGTATCTACAGAGCTCTAGTTTTCTATTAAGTGCAATAATGACAGTTTGGTAAGTATGGAGACAGGCTCAGAGAAGTTCAGAGTTGTGGCCCAGGCCCTCACAGAGAAGACTAAACCGTGCCCCACCCCCCAGCCCCCACCCCCGTGCCCCAAATGGGAGTGCCGTGACCTAGAGGGTGGTCTCGCCAGCGGCTTCTCTTCCATACATGTCCACGTCTGTGAAGTCACAGTCCGACTCCATCTCTATCTTCACCTGCGGCACCATGAACACTGGGCTCTGTGAGTAGTTGAAAGCAGGTGAAGCTGGACAGGAAATTTTGAAGTGTAAGGTGATGCTGGATGAGAAAAAGAAGGGAAGTGTGATTTATCTAGCGTTTGGTGTTTTTCACGCTATCCCTCACAGCGGGGTTCTAAATGCAAGTAGGTCTCTCTGCTTATGAAATCTTAACACGTCCCGGGAACTAGCAGTATCTGTCAGCTTGGTCTCCGGCTGCAGTCATTACTGCTCTTGCCCTGTTTCACCCTGTTCTTCACATCGCTGCCAAAGTGAACTTCCTGGACCACAGATCTGCCTATGGTTCCCTTGCTTAAGTTTTCCCATGGTTTCCCACTGTTCAAAACATAGTGTCCAAGCTCCTCAGC